CGGGATTGAACCCGGGCCACCGGCGTGCCAGTCGAGCACGTTACCACTAGGACAACGCGCTCATTTAAAAATATAAACTCATTAGTGGTATATGTTCAACATATTGAATAATTTTTTCAATTGAAATTCCACAAGATGTGGTTTCCCCCTTCCGTACGTGCTACAGTCGGCTAAATTGCAGTTAAACAAATGAAAAACAAAAAGTATTCGTACAGCAGAAAATAAAATTCACCCCGTCGACTTGATGGACACCCCAGCATTGCGTGTTGCGCCCTCCCTCACTCAAACCCCCAGAACTGAGCCTCTACTTTAGTCAATCCTCTTTGAACCCAGTCATGGACATTTTATGGGAAATAATTTCACAGTATTGACAACAGGTAGGTATCAAATAAACATTATCATTTCCGTTTTATAATTCTATTATAATTTGTCAATTGAATCGTCTCACATTCACCGGTCATTCAAGGAGTAACAATAAGACTTAAAAATTAGAAATTCATGATATGGAACAGAAACCCTGCCGATACAAAATTGCCCTGATTACGTTTTCGCTTTAAACTGTTGCTCGTTTAATTTCAAGTTAAATCAATCGCTGATACTCCACTTTGACATACCAACAAATTTCTTTATTGATTTAAGGCATATTTCTCGTTAATAATTAATGGCTATCACTCTCCCAATCACTACAGATCACTGATTCACAATCGTCACACTGAACAACATGATTCTATTGACTTTCAAGTCAACCGCTTCATCTTCCATTTCCTTTTCCATTTCCGCTAGGGCAAATACCCAAAAAAAAATCCAAAAAATTAGTCTCTCTCTGTTATTTCTTCTGTTATCGGATAAAACGAAGATTAACAATTATTCAAGGGAAAACACTCAATTTTCTACAATTGTTATCATCGATATCCGACTGGTCAAGTGATTTAAGTCGTATTTTCATTCGCATGAGAAACGATTATCGATTATTTTGAAAAACGATCGATTATTTATTCGATTACTGTATAGTCTTAACAGTTCCTCGTTGAAGCAACATTTTTCGAAAGTAATCGATAATTACAAAAGGTTAAAATCAACTTATCTCAATTCATCATTATGCTGAATTCAATTTGTATACACAATGTCTTAAACATATTCTTATGGTCCCTACCAAAAATACATTGATATCTACAAGCTGGGTATTATTATCATATTAATAAACATAAACGTAATGTCTCTCCTGGCCAATTTCCAATTTGAGATTCTCATCAATTTAAAACAAAATCATCTTCAATTGAGATATGGAGCAGCGGAATAAACTTGTTTACATCTCTCGTCATTATCCCCCTATTTTTGAGCTCTTTAATAATTGAATTTGATTCCTTCATTTCCTCTGATGACTCACAGTGCGTCATCACCCTGAACAATTGACGTTGCTTGTGCAATATGTGATAAATCGTCTGTCCCGAGTCGATTTCTCAGGAAAGTCTCCACTCCCTCCAACTTCACCGCTCATTCCAACGAAAAAAAAATCTATATTTTTGCCAAATATCTACTAACTTGAAACTTTTTTACTTTTCCACATTCTTCTGTCGAGTCATTTTCCCAAAATCATCATTGGCTTAAGTAAATAAATATTCGGCAATAAAAAATTTTTCTCTCCTTTCCATTCCTCGAGTGGATCAACGAATTTCACATGTTTTCTCACATTGACACGTTTCATTTGGTCGATTACTTCTTCCGAGTGAATCGCGACAGCTTCAGGTACAAACTTAATGTCATCGACAGCCAGTGAATTTTGCATTAAATTTAGTTCTCCACTTGATGAGAATTTTACTATTGATTTTAGTAGTTTATCGTTAAATTCATTAATCGTTAATCGTCATTAGTACAACTATCTGCATCTTTCATTGCAACTCACGTTCAAATTATTAAGTATTCGATAATCGTGGGATGCAAATCTGTACAGCATATTAAAAAGTGAAAAATGCACTTCTATGGTACATGCATCCTTCAAAAGGATAAACCAGTACTATTGCATTTCTTATTTATAATAAAATTGTATAGGACGAATCTACTATTTATCTCAATTATCGATTCATTCTCGAAACAACAGAAATTAATTTTAAACGTATAGTTTTCGGAGATGAATCCATAAAAAAGAAGAATAAGGTAAATTCAACTTATCTCGCTTTTCGATTTCACCATCGATTTGAGTTATCGCAACATTTGCGTCGAAGGAAGAAGTAAAAAGGTTGTAAACAGAGTCCTCGATCGTATTATCGGTAATACTATATTGACTGCTTAGAACTCGTTGATATGAAATAAAGTGCGACTTACATATTACGAGACTCTTACTTTTTCTCACTGTTGAGGATTTTTCAGTGAAAATTCTCCCAGCCTATTAATGAATTTTCCCAAAGAAATGGTTCCCACAAAAAAATTCAGTGACTGTTTGACAATAAAAATTATTCTACATAAAAGTATTAAAAAAAAGCTTCCGTTCGGAAGAAAAAAAAGAAAAAAAAGAAGAAATTACGTGAATCAGTTGAAAATTCATCAGTTTCAAAATAAAAACTTGGAATCTCACGAGTTTTTTCTCATAAATCTCATTTAATTCCAATTTCACCCCAACAGTGCTCTCAATTTTTTCTCTCTCTCTTCAAAGTCCTCCCTAATCATGTTACGAGTACCATTAATCGATTACATCCCTAGTTTTGCGGTTTTTAAGGCAGTTATATCGTTATATTTACAGTATCCGTCAAGGGAGATGTTGGCAGAAGGAGTTTAACAACTATAAGTATTTTCCAGAGGATATCTAAGCCGTCACCACTGATTTTCCCTTGCAAACTTTAAAAATCACCATTAAAACTCGATTTCACACAAAAAATAAAGCATTCCAAAAGTTCAACGCACCTCCACCATTCGATCATGAGAAAATATTCCAAAAATATATATTTTTGAGGGAAAAAAAGAGTGAAAGATACTTGCACATCCTCAAATAATCTCTACCAACAGCCCCAATGCCCCTAATAAATGCTGTCTGCAAAATTTGCCATAAATTCGTCTATTAAAAGATTTCTCCTAGCATTTTCCTTCCTATAATTACAATTATCATTAAACATATGGATTATTAGTGTCTGTCAATAAATGGGGTATCAAGTTGGAATGGGTAGTAGAGTCACCAGAACCCTGTGTTAGCTGTGCTGCTTCTGATTCATCGAGATGTGTCGATTTAGTGGGATCTGTGGGTGATGAAATTGACGATTGAGTATTGCTCACAGAGTTGTACATAACTGGATCATTATCCGAATTATTTTGGTGATGAGGCTTCTCCTCGAAGAGTTTATCAAGGCTGATAATGGAGCCAATGAGTTCCTTGGCGGTGATGGCAGGGGGCATGTCCTCCATCTGCCTCCGTCTCCTGATGAGCCACCAGTCGAGGAGGAAGAGGGCCAACGCCAGGATCTTCATACCAGCACAAAGCCCCACATATCGGTATCTGAATTGCTCAATGTCGTACAACAAGCACCGACCTCCCTTTTCCCCACAGGTGCTCTTCCATAAAAGACAAGTCGAGTCTATCAAATTACCGAAGAGTATGGGAGCCGGAATATAACCGAATAATCGAAAAATAACAAATTGCATCCCCAGGGCGAATGATCTCTCCTCTTCTGACACTGACCTGTCATTTTTAATTGGTAAATTTATTATATTTTCTCTTGTCTCGTGTTATCGAATTGATTAGAGGAACTTATGAGAGTGACTTACCGAAGAACTATCATGAGCAATGGCATTTGGGTAACAGCAACGACGAACGTCATGAAGAAGAGGAGAATGAGAAAGGGGAAGATTGTTTTGCATGGTGAGGTACAAGGACCAGCTGTTGCCACTGGTATGGCTGTCACTTCAGCAAATTCACTTGTTGATGAAGGTAACATTGTCAAATTACCATGAATGCCTGTTTTGAATAATAAATTCAATTGAAAATAATAAAAATAAAGATTAAATAATTAATGACATGGACAAGGGAATAATACTCACATGCACAATTGGTGAAATTGGATTTTGAGCTGAAGGCAGTGCAACCGGCATGACAGGGGCTGAAATATGTGAGTCCATTGTTGCCACAGACAGGCTCTACGTCATTCATCCTGCACTCGCATCCGAAGTTGCACGACGCAGTGAGATTCACCTGAAAGGGCTCGGGTGTTTTTATGCTGCTACTGCTGGTGCTGCTGCTACTGCTGGTGCTGTTAAAATAGGGTATTGTGGTGCCGGCCATTCTGACATTGTCACAACCGAGAAAGAATAGCAATCCATAACACGTCAGACAGACGATGTTCGAAACGAGAACGAACTGAACGGCCCCCTTTGGCCTCAACTCCAGTCGCTTCAATAGACATCCACCAAAAAATATACCAATACAAGCACCAGGCATTGCAATTGATCCCGTGAATATGCTTGCTTGACTCTTACCCAAACTAAACTGGGTTTCAAGGTATTTCGGTAAGAACACGACGAAACCAGATACGATAACTAGCTCCATGCAGGCACCTAGACATGTTATGACGTACACAGGATTGCACACTAGTCTCCACATGCTTCGTGGTATATCCTTCACGTCCTTGCCATATCCACTGTCATTTTGAAGATTCTCCTTCTTCTCCTTGCCACTGCTCTTTCCCTTCTCCACTATTTTGATCTTCTCCTTCTCCCTCTGAAGGGTCTTAGGAAAGCTGAAGAATGGGATAGCCACAAGAACCAGCAGCAGACCACACAGTAAAAATCCACCCCACCACATGCCAACCCACCTGTGATCACCAGGATCAATGCTGATGATGGTGGAGGAGAGTGAGTCCATGTGAAAAGAGAGTAGATAAGCTCCAAGAAGAAAACCTAGGACAGGTCCAAAGGCAGCCATGCTGTACATACAGCCAATGTACAAGGATGCACTCTCAGGCCTGACATGATCGTCGATGTAGGTGGTGCCCAGGGTGAAGAGAGGTGAGCCTCCACAGCCGAGAAGTAGCTGTGCCAGTACGAAGAGCATCACAGGTCCAGCAGTCGATGGAGAGCCCTGAATGCAGTTATCTCCTCGTAAATTATTGTGCGGTGCCAATGGAGGAGAGGACAGCCCCGATGACAATCGTCCAAGACCCATATCCTGCTCCCTCAGGGACACCCCACGACAGATATTGTCAGAGCTCGAGTTGTTCAACGTCGTTGTGAGATTCTGCTCAGCAGTAAAATGAGGAATCATAAATATCATGGAACCCAAACCCATTATCGCAGCTCCAATGGCAATCCACACTGGTATGTGTCGTCGACTGCCCAAATAACTGACAAATATGACAGTGGTGACGTTGCCAATCTCGTAGGAGCTCGCTATGAGCCCTGACAAGCTCGAGGGTATCTCAAACCTCTTTTCAATGGTCGTTATCACAGAATTGATATAGCCAGAGCTGAGTGCCTGCTGGACAGTAACCAGAAACGACAGAAGAAAGACAAAAACCTTTATTCCAGCAAATCTCTGGATAAAGGATGGCCTGCAGCTCAATATGCCACAATCCTTGTACTCCAAATTCATTGGGGGTGTGTGGGCTCGCTCTTTATCGGCTTTATCCGATGGAAGCACCAGGGAAGCACTTGGATTTCTGCTGTGACACTTGATGATGAAATCACGATGATCAACAAGACCCGAGCTTGGATTTCTGCTGTGACATCTGATGACGGTGTCGTGGCTGAGCTTTGCCTCGTTGGGAGGAAGCTCCAGACCAACTGAACTAGTACCTGTACTCTCAGCGTACAGTCCCGTCATTGCATACATACTCTCATTCCTCCGGTGAACTGGATAATAGTTGCTTGCTGATTCACACCTTCTGTGCCCGAAGAAGCTACCACTGGCGTTACGTTTGTGAGAGCTCTCTGGCCGTTTGTGGCCAAAGGCACTCGATATACTCTCAGCCCGACGATGGCCCAACTCTGGCCGTTTGTGGCTGCTCAAACCTCCAGACTCTGTTCGTTTGTGGCCAAACATACTCGACGATGAGCCCCTTCGCTTCTCATTACTCGTTGATGCCATTTTTTTTTCTTATTATTTTTACCCTCCAGCAATCTGAAATTATTTTTTTTTTTCATTTTAGTATTCTCTGATAATCTCTTACAGAGACAAATATGAGGCACATGACGTCTTGGAAAAAAGGAAACAAGTCAATCCGTGAGATTTTTTTTTATCCCAGTCTGAGACATGCCCCCACGGAGTCGGAGGAGAAATAAAGACAGCTGAACAGATGGTGACCGTGGCTTGGCACCTCGACAGCTGAGTCGCCACGAGGCAGTGTATACAGATCGATACCCAACCCAATGCCCAAGGAAATGCCAATGGGATTAAATAAAAAAAAAAAAAGAGTACAACCTTCGCAATGATTCCAGTACATTCCAGCAAATCAATAATAGATTTTTCTCATTAATTCATCGAAATCGACTTCTCAATCTGGCCCTTCCACTTTCCATCTTACGTAAACCCCCAAAAAACAAATCTCCAATGCCTTAATTCATTCCACTCTCTAAATAAATTAATCTCTGCGTTCATCTAAATCAGTAGCCAAGTGGTTAAGTGAGATCAAGACAGAGATAATTCCGGAAAATTGATCGATTATCAAAACAATAATCTGGAAAAATATTAAGTTATCTCACTTAACTTAACTCCACTGCTGAGTTCCTATCTGGACCAAAAAATAGAAAACCCCTCGTGCATATCGAATTGTTGACGGAGTAATAGCGTTTTTAATGTGTTATTTACAACGAGGAGAGTAATTTAAAAATGCACGACTCGTTTTAGAGAATAAAATTCACAGAAGTTGATCAAGGCTAGACTGTTGACCTGAGATAAGTATGTTATCAAAAACAGAGGAGATAAAACAACTAGGAAATTTTCATTCTCGATAGGAGCAGCTGAACCCAGCTGTAGGACTCTGAAATGATTCACAGGAATGCGGGACAAATCACAATGACCGAATAATCTAACGATGCAGTGCAACACTAAATTTCAGTCCTCTTGCTTGTGAATCTTTATTTATTCCGAATTTATTGAATTTAAAGAACGATATAATTAGGAGGTAATCGGAGAATAGTGACTTACCAGAACGATACAATTTTCAGCACAGGCGACACAAACTCCTTTGTCCGGAGAACAATCATGTAATCAATTGCAGTAAGTACTATTTTTTCCATCAAACCGGAATTACAAAAATGTGGAGATTGAAGCTGGACCGAGCATTTTTCCCAATTTTTCACGATTTCTGGTGGACGAATTTCATGAAGAAATTTACCTTCCACTATAATCACATGGGAAAACGATGAATCGTCATTGAAGATCGCAGACCAGCTGTGTTTTTACTCCTAAACACGAACCAACATGAACCATACCCCAACAACCAGTTTGTTTGGCGCATGCGCCTTGCACATCCGTTTCATTGTAGGGGGGGGTATGTCCTCTGTACAAATCTCGATCATGAGCTCTCAATATATTTTTGTATCGTCCTCTGTCCATCCTGTAATATAATTCGATTCCTATCTCTCGGAATTTTCAGGACATTCCCCCATTCAAAGATCTCCTATGTGTTATATCAATTATTTCAATAACAAAAAAAAAAATCTGTCGCACGTTATGTAAAATTACGTGAAATTATAAAAAAAAAAATATTATTCTCCGGAATTTTCCCATCTTCGACTAAATGTGAGAAATGTGTTTTTTTGGAATGAGGAAGGGATAGAGTTGGATGAAAAATAGAGAGATTGAGAGTTATTTCTACATGTTCATGGAGGTATTTACGGTCTACTTTCACTTGCGATGACAAGTGGGCCGCAGGCCCCAACTTCCTTTACCTTCGGCTTAACTTCATTCCTTCCATTTGTCAAGACTCTTCAGTCTTAATCGGCTATCCTTGTGGGTAGATTCTCCAGAGAAAGTAATAATAGTGCTACCAGGACAATGCAAACCAACATTTTCGTAAGTTCACCGAAGTCTAATGTCTTGAACCGTATATTTTTCCGATCATTCCGATAAATATTTTCTTAGAAACGGCAATTCAATTAATTAATAGTTATCGTTATTGTTTAGGTTAAACTGCTGTTTATTTTTTCAATGATGATGGCTGCTCTGCCAGAAAATTCAGCTACCATTGCTGAGCCCAAGGCCCCCAATTTCCAATATTTTGAAAGGTAAAACGAAAATTTAGAAATGTTCTTCTTAAATTTCCTTGCTCCCGCGCAGTTTCAATAACTTTTTATTAATTTGTACAAAGGAGAATGACGACCAGTAGATGGACGGTTAACAATTTTTTTTTTATTGAAAAATGTCCAATTGAAAATTCGCCAAGGAGTTATTGCTGATATCTTCTCATTTAGAAAACATGCAAATAAATTATTATGTGAAACAGGCCAAAGTATCGTTACCCTTACTACGATGAGAATGGCAGAGGAAGACTACTTTATGGCTACGGTGGCCCAGATCTCTACCAATACCGCACGTACAGCGCACTCGAAGGCATTCATTAATCGTTCATAACTTTATTTTAGAAAAATAGTAAAAAAAAAACTTCAAGAGGAATGAGTGGAATACGTTAGCAATAAATTAACAGATCTAAGAAAATACTACAAACATAATTCACTCCATTCTTCCCTTTATTTCCACATTTTCCAAATTCAATATTTCATTCATTTATAAAGAAAACACAAAATATCAATATTTAAGTTGAGAAATGCTTTTAAAATTCAGCGTGATCATTTACACGTCGTATAATTTATTAGAATTAGCCATGATTTATATGAGAAAGTGGTAATTCTCTCTACTCTGAATAATAAATTGCTTGGGCCATTCTGCACCGATGATTCTTATTAAAAAATTTATTATAAATTTGAATTATCACATGAAATTCAATGATTCATTGAATTCATTATTTGAGATAACCTTCAATGGAATTGGTAGATATTTTGGAATTTCGGTGTAGATAGGCCCTTGTTTATGTAGCACCAAATCCGAATGTTGATGTTTTTATAATCACAGTTGAGAATCACTAGTTATGCACCTTCTCTCTCCGATTAAAATAGTGCAACGTGAGAGAATTTATTGCCCTAATATACAGAAGCTACCGGAAAAATAAGAATCAATATTTCAATCGCAAGTTTTCTATTTTTTGCTATTAAATTCATCTCGATTATTATTCATTGCAAGCAATGACTGTTCTTAATATATAATCTCTTGAGTAAAAATAAATGCCATGGATGAACTCGTATTTTTCTAGGATCAGAGTGAAAATGTGCTATGAATTTCTTAATATTCATTGTGCGTTTTCCAACATTATTATTACGAGTTTATATTTCATACTTCAAGTTCCGACACAATTAGCTACTTTACGAGATGCAATTGTAGAAATTCAAATGGTTATTCAACACGTATGAAAGAAATTGATAGAAATTTTATATTCGCCTCGACAAATCCTCCCTTATACCTATCTTAAGACTCAGAAATCCGAAAATACACCTCTATAATTGCCAATAATTATATATCAGAATTAAATCGGTAATTATGTGGAGAAGTGACATAACCCACGTTTAATATTTTTTTTAAGTATGGCTTTATCTCGAAAATTGCAGCTAATTAAATTATATACAGAAAAAAACTTTTGATATTTGAATTTATCACTTGATTACTGAAATACTCAATGGAATGCTGTGCGGTGACACTCATAAATGGTTAAGTGACCAAACACGTGAAGAAAATTTCAGGTGAGGGCGAAAAAAAAATGTCGTAATCCAAAATGCCAGTACTAAAGGACGGTCTGGCCCTTTTTTATCCAAAAATACCGATTTTTTTTTGTTTTCTGACAAATTGTTAATCGGATTGATCCGATTTTCATGTAAATTTCATGGATAATTTGCCAGAAAAATTTTAAAAGTCCGAACTTTTGCTAAAGAGATGTGAAACATCCTTAAAATGGCCAGCGATCTACATTGTTTTTTTTTCCCCCACTTAACTAATCAATCTCCCCATTTCTCCCGAAAGCTTGACTCGAAAATAAAAAAATCATATCCACGAGCAATCAGACTTACTTCAGTTAGAATTTCGTTAGTCATGCAAAGTTGGCTGGATCTCAGCGCATTCAACTCGTCCTCGTAAACAAATGTGGTAATATGTAGTAACGAAGAAACAAACGATTTTGTTTTAAGATCTAGCGACGTACTTGGGAGACGTTGCTCTCCGCTGCTTGTGTTCTGTAAATTCATCGATGACTTTACGACAATCCAGAGATAACAAGGAAACATGTGTTGACATAGATACTCTTGCACACATGCACACAAGCACGTATTGATCACATAAGCACGTTAACGTGTCTCTATCGCGATATATATTCTGTTGGTTGCCAGAGTGTGAATCTGATGAGATACTCTCCATTGTTCTCTTCTCAATTACAGTGATTGAACAACTTGGCGCGAGCTTAATCCGTTTTTTCCTCCTCGCCAGACAGCAACTGTCATACAAAGTCCAATTCAAACTTACTGTAATACCGTCCAGTTGTTCGTCGACGCTCCCACAGCCGCTCACCGAGCTTCTTTATTTCGCTTATGATAAAAACACTCGATGTTAGCCCCACCAAAAAAATTATATCTGAAATTTCAATTCAATAATCATTAATCCAGCTGTAATTATAATAAATTGCCACCGGTAATTCACCTTTTGCAGTGAGCGCTTCAGTCTGAAAAACGCTCTGCAGCGGAGGAAAATAAATCACGAGCATTTGGCCAATGACTGACAGTGTCACAGCCACCAAAAACATCTTATTGCTTAAAAATCCAATAGTGAATATTGACTTGGTCTGTAAAAAAAAAGTAATAGATGGCAAATTCTGGCTGAATGATCAACCTAATGAAATAATAGTCGCAATTTATAAAAATGCAAACCTGTGACCGACAGCTCAGAGCATTGAACATGTCAAAGAATACGAAGCAAGTGAATGTCATGGTGGTGTCCCTGGCAGTAATGCCCATAGAGCTCATCTCTCTGTTGAACACCCACAGAGTCCCCAGAATGATGATAACTGCAGAAAGAAGAACATTGATGATCAGACTCTTGGTGATCATGGGTTCCTTGGTGTCCCTGGGCTTCTGCTTGAGGACATCCTTGTCCACGGGCTCAACTCCGAGGCTCTGGGCAGGTGGTCCATCCATAATTATATTGATCCAAAGTATCTGCATGGCATTGAGGGGATTGGGAATGCTCATGAGAGTTGCAAGTGCAATGAGAGCCAGAGCAGCGATGCTCGTGCTCAATTGAAATCTCACGAAGTTCCTGATATTATAGAATATACCCTTTCCCTCCTCGATAGCGGCAATGATCGTTTGAAAGTCGTCGTCCACGAGGATCATGTCAGCAGCCTCTTTGCACACATCAGTACCATTTTTACCCATGGCAATACCAATGTCAGCCTTCTTGAGAGCTACTCCATCGTTCACCCCATCCCCAGTCATGCCGACGATATTGCCATTACGTTGGAGAGCCTTGACAATGGCGAGCTTATGTCTGGGAGTCACCCTGTAAAACACACTGACATTATCAATTACCTGCTCGAGCTCAGACTCTGAGATAGCTTCGATCTCGTCCCCAGACATGAGCTTCATGTGCAGAGTGTCAAGGCCAATGACACTAGCAATGGCACCAGCAGTCTCCTTGGCATCTCCAGTTACCATTTTCACCTTGACACCACTGTTGGTCAAAATGGTGATGGCCTCTCTGACCCCCTCACGTGGTGGATCACAAATCCCAATGAGGCCTACATACACGAGATCCTGAAGACTGGTGCCACGAGCCAGACCTATCACCCTCAGTCCTTGCTGGCCAATCTCATAAGCCTCCGCCAGCAGCTCATGATCCTTCTTCTGATTCAACGGATACAACTGGCCATTGATAGAGTACTTGGTGCACTGTGGTAAAATTTTCTCGAGGGCTCCCTTCACGAAATAAATTTCCTGCTTGTCCTCTGAGTACTTGGAAATGCACTTGACAGCCATCATCTTCTGGTCTGAGGAGAAGGGATACTCCTGGAGTCTGAGGTACTTTTCAGCGGTGCCATACATGCCAAATTTCATAGCAGCAGCGACGATGGCACCCTCGGTTGGCTGACCCAGCAGTGTGTCATTCTGAATAACAGCATTGTTGCAGATGCAGCCCACCTCGAGTACATTTGTTATTGCCAATTTTGCTGTTTCTGAATTATCGCACTTTCGAATTTTTACTTTTCCCCGATCATTGTAGCCAGTACCTGAGACATCCGCCACGTAGCCCTCAGGTGTAACAATTATTGTCGCCGTCATTTCATTTTTCGTGATGGTTCCGGTTTTGTCGGAGCAGATAACATTGACACAGCCCAGGGTCTCGACAGTCGGCAGTTTCTTGACAATGGCTTTTCGCTTGGCCATCCTCATCACACCCAGGGCGAGAGTCACTGTAACAACGATGGGAAGACCCTCGGGGATGGCGGCTACAGCCAGGCTTACGCTGATGGTCAGCATCTCGAGGAAGGCCTTCTTCTGGATCCACCCGAGCATCATGATAAAGGCTATGATGCAGAACGAGTAGGAGGAGAGTTGGGCCCCGAGAATGTCCATGCTCCTTTGGAGGGGTGTCTTTGGGGCCTCCTCTGCCATCATCATTGTGAACACCTCCCCGAACTCGCTCTTCTCCCCGGTGTTGATGACGATCCCTTTTCCATTGCCGCAACGTACCAGAGTACCCATGAAGGCGATGTTCTTCTTAGAGGTGTGGCCGTTACTCTTCAACAGAGGAGATGTTGATTTTCGTGAGGGTTCGGTCTCACCAGTAAAACTGCTCTCGTCGATGGCCAGGTCGATCGCCTCGTAGATGCGAATATCCGCGGGTACTCGATCACCAATATTAAGAAGCACCACGTCTCCTGGCACTAGATTTCTGGCTAGGAACGTCTCCACTCGGCCTTCCCTCAGACAATGGCAGGTTGGTGGCACCAATTTATTCAATTCCTCGAGGGACTTCTCTGAACGGTACTCCTGGACAAATGCTACGGTTACCACTATAATAATGGCAACTGTAATACTGACTGCGTCATCGAATTGCTTCATGCAGACACTGACGAATGCCGAGCCCAGAAGGAGCAGAATCAATGGATTTTTAAATTGTTCGATATATTTTTTCCAGGTGGGATCTTCTTCTTTGACTGTTAATTCATTGTACCCGACAAGTTGTCTTCTCTGCTCTGCCTCCTGCCACCACAGCCCATTCCTCGTATCCACGTGGAGTCTCGCTGCCACTTCCTCGGCACCGAGGCTCGCTGCTTCTCCCGTTGACAGCCACATGTCAACTTCTAGTTTTTCCTTTTTCAAAAGACAATAAAATTCACTAGATACATTTATCGAATTCATGTGAAAAATAAATAAATTATTTTAAAGCTATCATTAATATTCAATGTCCCGCGAGTTTCATTACCCTGAAAGAATTGCCCTACGTTCTCACTAAACATTTCCATTCATCTCGGAACTATCAATAAACTCTCAAGGCTTTTCTCAACAATCCATTCTCTCGATAAACTCCAGTGTAATGTCTCAAAAAAAATTCCAAGTATCTTCCTCGGCTATCACATCGAAAAAAAAAATCCAATCGTTTAATTTTTCTTCAGTGAATTATCCATTCGCAACGACCCTCATTCCCTCCAACAAAGCCACGAGTTTACCTCTAGCCCACATCCTAGCAAACCTTCGTCTTATTAAAAATTGTGAGAAGAGGTACTCTGAGTCATTCTCTGATTTTTCAGACATCAAAATCCAATTAAAACACAGACAAATGTCGTGTGGATGAATAAAAAAAATTTAACGTTCCAATGAATTTGAAAATTTATTTCGCAATAGTACAGAATGATTTCTCAGCACTACTTCACCCTAGTCTGGTATGAGCATGTGTCTAACCTTAAATCTGATTTTTTATCACTCTAGGAGCTGTCAGAATTCAATCGAACACTCTGTTAATTTAATCATGACACATTATTTGAGAAAATCAAGAGTATTATTTATTAATTATACACAGTCTCAAAAGGCCCAAACTGATAGCTGCCTTATTAAAAACCATAGTGACAATGAGCCCCAGTAAAAAATGGGTCTGATCTTGTCGGTGTCACAATGTTTTATGTTTCATCCACGTAATAACATTATTCTTGCGCATGGACACTTGCTTCGACCCGGGATACGTGTGACCCTCGTCTTGTACATGCTGGATAATCATTTAATTTTTCATTTATAAGAGAGAACAAGAGAAATAAGAGTTAACGAATGTAAACACTAATTTAACGCGGGCTAAATCAAATCCATCAGTACCATTATCACTTCATGAATGAGAAGACCTGGATGAGAACTACAAGACGAGGTACGTTGCACTGTGCAGCGAGGTCAATCAATAGCCGGACATGTCAGGGTTTCATAATACTAGTTTCTACTACAAAAATACTTATTCCCAAGAATTAAAGAGAAAACCAGAACAATTTCTCATTATCCAAATTATTATTACTTATCCTATCCCAAAAATCTATTTAATTTTGGGCAGAAGCTGGTACAGGAAAAATATTCATCGATCCAGAAATTCGAAGAGAATTGTTTGAAATAGAAAAAGTGGAGATGAATGATGACGAACCTTTTTGCAATCCATTGAATTCATTTTTGAAGATGATATTGGGTTGATATGTAGAGGCAACTTCAAATGTTTGATAAGATATCGATGGAATAGCACTGCGTGATCAAGAACATTTTTTTTTTATTTGAACAGGTGTCTCTTGTTAATAGAACAATCTACAATGAACAACGATCAACCGAGTGAATGTTGCAACCACTCCGCTACCTTTACCTTGACGCTCGTGTTCTTATACCCACTACCGCTCAAAATACCACCCAACTCCCCCAATCAATGCTGCAATATAATTTTAATCATCGATCCACCGGCTAAATCCATAAAGCTAGTGGGGCTGGTGGGGCTTTCGATAGTTATTGAGGGTAATAATAACACAAGTAGTAGTCAGTTCAGTTACTTATTCGTTGAAAATATATTTTTACAGGTTTTATACATTTTTGTCAGCCTTCTTCAATCCTTTCTTCTATTATTCAGAGTAGAAAAATATTCATGAGCTCTTGATTCGGTAAAAGCGTTTTGGAAATATTGTGAATTAGTCGAAATTCAGATAACGAACAGCCAATTCTTTTGGAATTTATTTATAACGTTTAAAAAAATATTTTTTTTTAAAGTTATTGAGAGATTTTTTTCTTGGACTGCGAAACTTCTCTCCTGCAACCTCTCTTCTGCAACGGTTTTCACAGCACTGTAGGCTTTTTCGAGCCTACTGTTTTCTCAACAATATAAAGACACAGAGTTAATGATTTATCGGGGAAATCATTCGAAAAAGTTTGCTCATTGTTTCTTTAAAAACTTCCTTCAAAAATAACATACTTCACGAGCATTCCAAAGACTTCAAATCTCTCTGTAAATGGGATTCAAGGGGATTTGTGTCATCTCCAGTGGATTCATTCATTTTTAACTGGGGATGCTGAACATTTCGTTTTTCTCTGCCACCCCCTATAGCATCTGGCATCTTGGACTCCTTTTCTTTATCCTTCGTTTGATTGATGAGCTTCAGAGGAATTGGCAGTTGATGATAAATAGTCTTTTTAGTTTCTGGGGTTTGGTCTCTGTTGATAGTCCTCTGAGACTGGTTTTTCTCGTTTTTTGATATCATATCTGAGATCTTCCTCGTAACAGTCCAGTTGGTGAGAACATTCACGATTGGACCTCTCGATTCAATCAACGTAATGTTCATTGAATCAGCACTGGAATTTGTTGAATTTAGAATTTTTCCCGACGATGCATTCAGGGAAATTTGTGCCTCGATTGTATTATCAATATTTTTCCTGGTTTCCTTCAAATTTATATCGGAATTTACCCGTGGAATTTCAGTATTGGCCTCGAGTTTTTGACGAATCTCATCGTTTTTCTCTCTTTTGTTCTTTGATAAATCATTTTGGTCCTTCGAGTGGGATTCTTTCTGGACGGGCTCTTGGTACATCAATCGTTTTCTCTTTTCCATTTCAAGTTCCTCCTTGTGGTGCTCAATATCTTGGAGGAGCACCTTCTGCTCTTCAATCAACTTGCGAATGTCAGTTTTGTGCTCTTCAAGTTTTTTCAAAAAGTGATCCTGTCTCGTGTCGTCGTTGGTTTCCAGATTTAATTTCCCAGTGACGTGGGACACTCCTGCGTCCTCGTTTTTTTTCACTTCTGAATTTATGAGAATTTCGTTCGCCTGCTCGTCCTGTTTTATTTTCGCTTCCACTAATTCCGTCTTTTCCTGGGGACTGATGATCGTCTCACCTGTGTCCAGTGGCTTGCTAATTATTTCAGACTTTTCAGTCACTACTTTTTCCACTGGTTTTGGTTTATCCTTGGGAGGTGGAACTGGCTCTCGAGGAATACTCATCATATCTGGCACTTTTTCAATGTCAATTTTGAAATTTGGCTGGAGAATTCCTGAAATTCATACAATTCTTCTCACTATTCAATTAATGTCACAGATTGACACACCAATCACACCATTAAAAAAATATCCCATGAAACAATGCCCCACCGCAATAATATTTTTATTGTATTCTCATTTTTGGCACTTTTAAATTCTGAAATATTTTGTGATTTATTTACCTATATTCTCCTGCTGAATAACAGGAACTAAAGGTGCTTTCGGTAGAAGCAGTTCGTCATTGCTTTTAAGAAGATTCAACTCAATATTACTAATCTGGAGTATGGGCTTCCCTGTATTGAGGTTAATTTTAGACGTGGAGGCTTCCTCCATGGCATACAGATTAGCATAAGTTCCAAGGATCATAATCCATATCCCAACGAAGGAAATAACTTGTGCTAGAAGTCGTTCATTGGTGTTTTTTGCACTGATAACGATGAAAAATGTTGTAGGGAGAATCAGGCAGATCATCACACCAATTGTTGAACCCACAAGACCAAGGACAAATTCAATATTCGGCATGAATATTCCAGTGATCAGAGCCACTGTCACAATAGTCAATGTCAAACACCTGAATCTTATTTCTGGAATGTAATTGTTCACTGGTTCGTGTGTTTGCACCTGAATCAAGGAATAATGCATAGAATAAATAATAAATTGGTTGAGAGTGAATATTTCAATGGTATATTGAGTGAATATTTCGATTGACGGGAAAAATGTAACAGCTGAGGAATTTTTCAACTTACTCGTCGGAAAAGAAGGGAATTAAGACTTGCTCGACATGGAAATATCACCAGAGGAAAGCTGAAAACTACAGAGAGTACAAATCCTATTTTTATCATGTCTGACGTTGCACTCGGCTCGAGAACCATGAGAATATTTCCTGCAGAAAAAAAAAATCACGAATTGTGAGACAAAATGAGATTTAATGGGAAATAGGAAAAGTACGAGTGATTACCTGAGAATGATTCTGTGCAAAATGCAACGTATCCAAAAAATCCGACGCAAAGATAGACCATCGTGCAGATATTGAGTGCTCCTCGGACAACGTGGTTCATCTTCTCCAGCGAAACATTGAGAATGGATTCGTAAATCTCAAACAACTGAGTCTGACAGAACAAAGCCATGGAGAATATCGGTAAACACTGGAGAATGCCAGCAGGTCGCCAGTAATTGACATTGTCATACCAATCTCCACTGAAGATGTGTTTGGTCGAGTCTATCATTACTTTCAGGACAAGGCAAATGTAAAAGCCAATGGTAGCTGTGCATATATTAGCAAGACTATCAATATTCTTCAGTAATCCCAGAGGGAAGACAATCAAGGCACCAGTGGTCAGGAGAAAACTCGTCCTGATATCCTCTGGATTTTTATTCAACATCTTGCCGATTATCTGAGGCCCTAGGTCTCCGATGACAACGTAAAATGCAATGCAGGTGCCCAGCAAAAATCCTATAATAAATAATTCCACCAGGAACTTGCCCATGGGGCCAAAGGCGTGGAACGCCAAGAACTCGAAGTTTCGTCTTCTCGACATAACTGCTGATTTTATGAGAAAGTGACAAGCCAATCTTGACAGAACACTGCAGAGCAATAGGACTGCAATTGCTAAAACTATTCCGCATTGTTTGAAACAAAAAGGCATTGCCAACACACTCACTCCAATAATACTGTTTGCCAGGGTCATAACGTGAGATAAATGGGAAGTCATCGTATTTTCTTAAACTCTCATTAATTTCTTCAATTTAATCAGGTGAATTCGAAGGATTCAATGTAAATAGGATATTTATTTATCTAATACTAATATTCTCAATCTTCAATTTTTATCTTGGATTTATGCAGATGGAGAATCAATTGTCACTTTTGTAATGAATATTGAAATTATTGAATTACAATCAATTGAGAAACATAATTTTTATGATAATATTCACTGTGATATGAAACTCTGGAGATCACTAACTCATCGAAATTTCGCCCAGTTCCATCACGCCAATGAATTTTTATTGAGTTGAGGAAAACCGCAGACTAAATTGCCAAGAAATTCAAAGGCAGCTGTATATGTTTATGTTTATATTTTTCGTCGCGATAAACAAATTTTGGGGGGGAATGCGAAATATATCGACACATCGTGGCTTCACATTTGAAGGTTAGATCAATTGTTCACTGTGTTTTTTGATGATTAGAATTTTCTTGGGATGGCAATTAGTGGGGATGAGTTGTGTGACACGTATTTTGTAAAGTTCAAGTTGCCGATCAATCGCATTTTGGTTGGTTATTGATGACGTTTTGGCTGTGATCAATGCGTGACAATAAAAAAAACAAGCAGCCACTGCGGGGATCAAATAAGAAAATATCTACGTGTTTAAATGTTTTTTCGTATTACAAGTAAAAGTTTTTAATGATTGAAAAATGCGTTTATACCACCTTTTTTCCCTCATCACTGGCGATATAAGTGAAGACATTATTCATTCTCAATGCTTCATTATTTGTTTCTGTAGAATTTGTTTGATTATCCATAAATGATTGTGAGGAGTGAATTCTCTACGAACCCATGTTGAATTATTAATTTTTATTTGTCATCACAAATAGGAAAAACGGCGATTTCAAATGCTACAATTTTCACCTGCAATTGCACCCCTGTTCTGCCACGAATGAATCAATTCCCTACTCCGCAACGCAAAAATTTTCGATTACATAATTTCACCGTGTAATATCCTAACACCTAGATGAAAAATACGATAATATCCGTGGATTCACCAACGATACAACGATCCTGGCGCCTTAATTATTTAATTAGGAGAAGGATGGCATGTAACAAAAATCCGAAAGAAAAACCGAACGTCTTCTCCAAGAAACCAGTTTTTTACCAAGAATTCTTGGGCACAAATTATCTATTTTTTTTTTCTTTTTAACGTAGAGAGAAAATGCTTAAGATTCTCTATTAAAAAATCCACCAAAGAATCATTTTGACGTATAAGAAATTCAGTCTATTAAACAAAAAGCAATTGAGTGAAAAATTTTTGCCGAATTACCGATTACATTGAATTACAATAAATTTCCAATAAAAATTGCCGAGAATTTCTGAGGGAAAGATTCGGTTTTTCTACCAAATTAATCTATACATGGAGCACTTAGCATTGGAAATGATGGAACGCTGGCGATTACCCAGGCGAGATGGAATGAAAACGAAAAAAAAAACAATGCCATCGGATAAGAGCTGGAAATATTGGTTTTGTACAAAAGTAGGAAGCAAGATAGTCCCTCAACTGATCATTCTCACTGAAAAATTCTATTAGTAAAGACAAGGAACAAGACTGATCGAAGTAATTTATAAAAAAAAAATCCTACGAATAACTAATCACTGACACTCACACCGAATACATCTGTATTTTCTGATAAAAATTATCTTGCGTCGTGCTGAAAGCTCCCTCCACGATACCAGATAGTAATTTCATCATCAATATCTCTGGATACCGGGAGATAGGCCTGTACAAAGATCATTCATGCTGCAATGAATTTGAATATACTCCACGAACTGAGGCTCGACAATTGATTCAATCAGAGAGGACTCACTCCAAACCCAACGATAACTCCAACTCTCAGTTCCTTATTTATACTTGATTTCAAAAATTATTATTATGATTTCTTCTTATGTCAATTTCTTCGGTTGTAGATTGTTGCCTATCAAGGATTCACACTCTCCTTCTTCGTCTCCTCGTTCATGGCATTGACTTTATCGTCCTTATCATTCTCTAGAAACCCAAAAAATTTAATTCATCAAAATTCCAAATCAATGGAAATCAATGAAGTGAAAATAAATAAAAATGAAAATTAACCTTTAATTTCCGATTTGGCATCATCCTCCTTTTTAATATCTGTTTCCATGCTCTCCTGCCCCTTCTCCAGTCGCGGTCTCTTTCTGGAGCCTTTGAAGGATCTGTTATCCCTCCTGCCTCCCTCACCCTCGTCCTCACTGTCACTGTACTCATTCTCATGCTGTATCCTCTTATCCAAATCCCTTTGGGGAAGTCTCTCGTCAGGATTGACCTTCTCCTCAGCCTCAGAGTCGTCAACAGTAGCCCCATCCTCCGGAATAGCCTGAACCTGAACCCCTGGAGCATGTGGCAGCATTCTGAGATTCTCAAAGAGCCTGGTTTTGATCTTCTCGAGGTACTCCACAGTATTCTGATTTCCCATGTTGGACGGACTGATGTGAAGCTTGAAGTCTGGACCGAAGTACTCGAAGTAGTCGTTGTAGGGGAGCTCATTGGCTATTTCACAGCCCAGGGCCACTGATGTCTCGTACGTCCAACACCTGGAGACGTTCCTAATGGTGTATCCACCTCCACCCACCATGAGAAAGGGGAGATTGTACTTCTTGACGAATTCGACACACTTGCCATGACCTCTGACTGTTAGATTGAAACAGCCTAACCTGTCTCCAGTCAAAGAATCAGCCCCACACTGGAGAACAACAGCTGACGGCTGGAAAGTTTCCATTACCTTAGAAATAATGGGAACGAAGATGGATTCGTAACTCTCATCGTCCATGCCATCTCGCAGGGGAATATTCACAGCGTAGTACTTTCCCTTGCCAGCTCCAATGTCTCGGAGATCTCCAGTTCCGGGAAAATACTCTCCGTACTTGTGGAAGGATACAGTCATGACTCTGTCAGTAGTGTAGAAGGCCTCCTCGACACCGTCCCCGTGGTGCACGTCGATGTCGATGTACAGTACTCTTTGGTGATATTTGAGCAGCTCCAGGATACCCAGGACAATGTCGTTAACGTAGCAGAAACCCGACGCCTCGCTTTTCTTGGCATGATGGAGACCTCCACCCCAATTTATGCAGATTTCTGACGCCTGTTTGTTGAGCTTCACTGCCGCTGCCACTGAACCACCAGCTGATAATTGACAGAACTCATACAACCCGTCGAATACTGGACAATCTTCACCGACATTAAATCTCTGCATTTGTTTGTTGTACTCGCTCATGTTGTCCGGTCGAATTGATCTCAGGAATCTGATGTACTCGTCACTGTGAAACTTGGTCATCTCGTCAGCTGTGGCCTTGTGTGGACGCTGCAATTTCAAAACAACCAAAGCTTTAGCTTCGAGATTTTAATTTGTTTTTTTCTTGTTTGTTCTGTCGACTCACATAAATCTCCATTTTCCTATAGAGTCCGTAGTTGAGCAGTAAATTATGGGTCATCCTTATTCTATGAGGCTTCATGGGATGCCCTTGTCCATAGTAATAATTTCCTATGTCACCTTTATTAAAAATCCAGTATTAAAGTCAACATGTTTAAGTGATTACTCAAATGTAAAAATCCAGTCGATTTTCACTTTTCCTACATGAACTATTAAATCCCACGCAATCAATATTACCACGTCGTTAATCAATAATATTTGAATAATCCAGCCACGATAATGTTTCCATACCCAATAATTATATGAATCTCAAAGGAACATTGGAAAATGTCATTGCAATTTTTCAAGAAAAAGCATTTATATAGAATTTTCCACGAGAATTAATCACGATTCTCCTAATTTCACCCCGGTGTAGTACGCTTCACAGCATAAACGAAAATCTAATGAAACTATCGCCAATTTTGAGAGATAAGTCGAGAAATTCTCAGGTGAGCTACGGCTTGACAAGAGCATGGCGTCTTTTGTAAACTACGGTTATACGAAAAATTCACTAGTGAATCTCTCGGCTTTGGGCCCTCGAAACCATCTCACCTAGGTGTAATTAACCCGCGAAAATGCCAATTTTTGCGTAATCCCTTCACCCTCAATCACCACTTCACAATAATCAACTGTAAAAGCTCAAAGAAATCCCCATAAAGCGATATGAAGACGAATAAATTTTGGAGTACGTGACCGAAACGCTGACCGTGCAATTCAACGTTCTGTCAGATGAAGAGATCCAGATATTATCGAGAATAATAAAATAAAGACAATTCTCAATCATATTGACAATTGATAACTTACTATCGTAATAATAGCACACACGTTTCCTACTGTGGGGCTGTGTTGACATTATCTTCGATTAGCACACGATCGGTAGAATAAATCACAAAATATCAATTAACTAGGGATGTTGAGGGAGCTGAGCTCCTGAAGTTGGATGGGGTGTAGATTTTTGCACAGTCTTGTTAACGAGAAAAATACACGAGATCACGTCTACAACATCAGTTGGCCTCCGACTTTGGATAATCGTGGAGGTGAGGACAGGCGAGAGGGATCACGGAATCCTGGAATCTGGAGGGAGCGCGTCACTTCGAGCAACTGCTCACTGCGCATACGCCAACACAGTTCCACCAACATCCGAAATTCAAACTGTACAGTACTTTTACTGTACTAGCGCCGCCTCGGCTTTTAAGCGGAGTTGATGCCTTTTTATTACCCCGTTCAAGTCACTGCTTTTTTTTTTACCGAAGAACAGGATATATATTCGAATGTTGTTGCATCTTCTCTGAAGAAAAGTCTTGAGGATTATTTTACAAGTGAATTGTTGCATCACCATGAATGGTAAGCACTGATCTAATATTCTGGCGGTGATTCAGTAGGTGCTCATGTAATAATAACACATTTTTTTTGAAGTTGTTAGTGTGACAGATTGGACGTGCGAATATTTCTTGAATAATCGAGCATCATGCAAAATCTTCCTGGAAAATGTCGAGGAGGTGAGAGAAATTCCCTCGATCAATTCAACTGCTCTTCACAATCTGAGGGATGGACAATTGGTGAGATTCCGAGGGATGATCCAGGATATGTACAATCCTGAGTTTTATTTTGAACGGTATGAGGTTATAGACAGAAATGGAGGGAAGATTATACGCAGTGGAATGTACAGAGATACTGCACTCTGTCAGGTATTTATTCATTTTCTACATCGACAAAAATAAATGGCTATTGAGGAGCATCTTAAAATTCTCCGTCACAATAAATTGACGTTCCAGAACAGATGTGTAGCCTAGAACGAATCACTGAGGCAGTAAAAGGTGTGAGACACGGAAAGAATTGTTCGTCTCATGTATAATACTGCCAACAAACTTCTATTCAAACTTTCAATTAATCTCCCCTCTCTCCAATTACCAATGAAAATGCGCATTCAATGCATTTTCCCTTGAATTAGGAAAACGAGAGCATTCTCCTGGAGTCTGAAAACAACAAGAACGCTGAAAGACAGACATTCGTAGTTATTTCAGTACCAGGCCTGAATGACTGGGCTCGAGAGAAGTCGCCAGACTTGAAACTTACTCTGGAGAAATCCCCACGTCTTTCTATGAAACGGCCCCTCGAAGAAGATGAGGAAGCAATGGATACCACCGAGCCTGCGAAGAAAAGGGAGAAGGAGGAAATCAATCTCAATGGGATGGAAAGAAGAGATAAATCATTGCCAGAAAATCTCTTGAATTTTCCTATTCCCATAGAAGGAGGTAGAGCCTGCATTGTGAAGGTGTGTCTTAAAATTTGTCCATCTGAATTAAGTGGAGCCTCTTTATTTTTATATTTTCCTTTTCTTTCCTCATTTTTTATATAGAATGAAACATGTGAATTATTGGTCCTTAGGTTTACGAAGAAGATGCTGCATTCAAATTAAATCAAGTTGTTGACGTCATTGGGTTCATATCACTGGATCCAACAGTTCACACGGTCTGTGATCCAGAAGAATTGGAATACGATGCTGAAATTCGTACCCACAATCCTCCCACATCGTTGATTCCTCGGTTACATGCCGTTGCAATCACCCACTCAATTGAAGATCTGCCGAGGAGATATCCTCACATTACTCCAAATATTGGCTCCACCAGGAGCAATTTGCACAAGATGTTCAGCCACGTTCTTTTCGGTGATGATTTAGCAGCAGATTTCCTCATTGCTCATTTGTTATCTACTGTGTGAGTTCTCCATTTAAATGGTATGCTTTTTTCTCTATATTTTTTACATGTTTTTTTTCACAAACTTCAGGTACTTGAGGAGGAATGATTTATGCTTGGGCAATTATCCTCTGAATATCACGAATTTTCCAATCGAAAAATTTCCTGATTTTCCAAGAATTCTTTACGACGTGCTCAAAAAAATAGTCCCGAAGAGTCACTATTTTGAATGCACGTTAGATAGTTTGAACAATGGCTGTTTTGTACCAAAGTAAGTATAGGGGATAAATGATCAGTGTTATTTCTTTTAAACCCGCCAATTAATTAAATTTGTGGAGAAAAAATGTAAAAATTTTTGATGAATTCACTTGAATAGAAAAGATTACGAGAGCAATCGATTAACAAGTGGCGCTCTCCAACTGAGTAACAACACTCATCTCGTAATCGATGAAACAAAACTCACAGCTGGCAAACTCTCTGTGGAGGGGAGGAAAAATTACCAAGCGATTGATAATTTATTGACGCTCCAAAAAGTCACGTACGATTTCAAATTCTACACGATGGAACACGAGGCAGACATTCCCATTCTTATACTGTCAGAAACTAAGTCCTTCCTACCAGTGAGTTCATTATTATTTTTAGTAACTTTCTAGCATTAATTATCTGAGGTCATCCATAAACGTACACTCGCATGTTAGATATTGAAAAACGTATGGGATGTTTCAGTGCACCGTTCAAGTGCCCTTAAGTATCGATAAAGACGTTGAGAATGGATATTCAAAAGTTGATCAGATCTTGACACTGCACTTGGGGGATGAGAATCGAGTAGAGGATGTGAGGCAGTATCTTAGAAAATTGCAACGACTCGTTTTTCAAATTGATGAGGAAATCACGAGTGTAAGTTTTTCCGAAAAAATCTTCTCTTTTCCAACTCCTGTTATAAAATCGTCTGACGAGTAAATATATACGAGATTAACAGTCATTGAATAGAAACATTCAAATTTGGAAGAAAAGTCACGCTTCAAACGTGCCTACTTTGATTGTTATTAATCCAATTATTTTCCAGGCAATTCAAGAGGACTTTGTGGAACTGCGAAAATTAGATGATAAAATAAACGGAGACAATCTGCACTTGTTGATTGTCCTCGCCAGGTTGATGGCCATCTCCCACGGGGAGACTTCCCTAACCCTTCCCCGGTGGAAAGACACCGTCAGGAAAGAAATTCAACGTCTAGGGAGAGTACGCCAACGAACAAAATAAAAAAAAAACCTCCTAAAATAAATATTAACTTTACATTTATTATGTTTTTTTTACAAATAAAAATTACGATGTACTCTCTACAATAAAATCAATATTTTTCTTAATGAGGTATTTTAATTTCTGTGAAACGTGCTGAATTTCGCTTCTCACAGGTGAGAAATGAAGATAGCTCCAGATTTCTCTTTTTCTTTCAGATCGTGTTACCCCTGAGGAATTATTTCATCTCGAAAATAATATTCAGGGTGATTCAGGTGAATAAATAAAATTTGTGATTAAGTTATGGGCAGAGTTTTATGTTACATGAATCATTCGGGATAAAAAATGGGATTTCAGTGGGTTTTTGTCCTATTTTGGAATAGATAAGTATTTCAAAGATTTTTATGTTCTCGAATGGCCGGTGTCATCGATGTAAACTGAATCCAATACTCTCTGAACAGTCTCTGAATCCTTAATTTTGCAACATCTGTTCTGACGCTCGTGCTGCAGTAGTTGAAGACCTCGTCGTGCTGCTTGTGCATACCTCCGAGATAGTGCCACCTCGCTGCGAGCTCCAGGGATATGACCTGTGTATCCTACAATAGGAGGGCTTTCCGGAGACACTTGATTTCCTGCCCAAACAAAATTATCATAAAGTGTATCTGATCAATGTTTTAATCTATGCTAGATGCTAAAAAAAATTATTTCATACTCATAAAACTGCATGAGTCATGAAATAATAATGATAAAATGGGAAAAACAGTATATTTTTTGGATCAATCGGACCAGCAATTTCAAAAATCTCTATAACTGTAAAAATAACAGGAAATCTCACCGAAGAACGATGGATCTTGGTGATGGCCATGATTAATTTCCACCCTGACATTATCAGCCCTAACACGTGACGCCAAATTCCTGGGGTTCATTCGCTCGACATGTGCTCGCATTGTGTCTCCCCTATTCCGTAATTTATTCTGCGTCTCACGCCACTCTTTTCCGCCCTCCTCAACAGCCTGCATGAATGATAAACCGTATTTTTTATTAAATCCCGGAATGTATCCCGTGTATCCCAGGATGAATGGTGGTGGTTTATACAGAGATCGGTCGTTTCTGTAATTTTTTCGCATACGTTTCTCCCGGTCAACCAGAATTACCGGATCTCGATTAGAGTTCGGTCGATAGGGCCCTGTTTTCAGTATTTGCTTTTGTAAGAGGTCCTGTAATAAATCCGTTATAATAATCCGTCACCCACAAATTTCCACAAGAATAAGTATAAGTAAACGGAAATATCTATAAAAAATTAGGACTGACCTCCATAATCTCCTGAGTGTTGGCGCCGAATCGTTTGCCAACTCGAAACTTGAGGGTTGGACAGTGACCCGTGTATCTGCAAATAATCCAGTAAAATATCCATAATTTTTCATTTAATTACAGTTTATTTAAAGGTGCGGTGCGTGTTAAATCGATAGACAGAAGTGGAGGATATTTCAAGGGGAAAGACGACTCGAGAAAAAGTGGAAAAAAGATCGCGGTCTTGTGCGTGATATATGACGGGTAGTTGAACATTTATCGATGTGTATAACCAGTTGCCTGGTACTGGCCTGGTACAACCCCTCAACACTATTCATACCGCCGGTGTCAATTTATTTATATTTATTAGCCAAGTTGTAAAGTGAGATAGCTCCAATAAAAAATATCTATTAATTATCGACTTATCTTGAAAACCATCGATCTACAGTGAAAACATTCAAATCCTTCTTTATACCTTATTGAATTTTTCACAGCAAAAGATTTTTCAAGATTCCTCCTGAAATCGATGGTTTAAAAAATCAATCGATATTCACCCAAACTTGAAAATTTTACTCCTCGTTTTTTTTCCTCTTGAATTTGACAGGTAAAAGTGGAAAATTTTATGAATAATCAAGATCGAAATTGCAATAATAATAATAATTATCATTAATGGAAATAATGAATGGTTTATTTACCCGGGCAAGTGTGTCGCATAATTCTGTCTGAAGAATTGTTTCCTCTGGTCACCAGTCATCGGATCAAAGACCATTATCAGATTACACCGTTCTTCAATTGAATTAATATTGAAAGTGATCGGCTGAAGGGGTAAAAGGGTACTATTCTGGCTTTTGAGATTTTCGAGCTGAGTTGAGCGGTGTGTTGTTGTCGTGTTGAATTTGAAAAGTGGAGTGTGTTGACTAGTGAGTCGAGACCGTGGGTGCAGGAGGTGGAAGTAGCGTGAACAGGAGGAATCAGCCTGTAGATTGCGCACCAACGTCTCAGCTAGTGAAACAAACCTCTATAGTCGGCCTCAAAATACATAATATGGCTTTATGTATCGGAGCTCGGCCCACCATTTGCATTCAAGTTATTCCAGCGACGGAAACCGCACCTCCTTACTCTTCAATTACTTTTCAAACTATCGGCTTTTTTATGGTTTCACTATTACTTTTCAGGGATGGTTCATCCCCAGAAAGAGGGAAGTTTATACAGCTATTAGAATAGTTTTCCCACCTTTTTTTTTTCACCTTTCTGTTCTGCTTCATCTCATGGGCATTTTCTTTTTCAGATGTTCTGGTCTATTTCACTGACCCTATTGACGATTATTGATTCCACATTTGATTTGGTGCGTGAAGGATCTGTCGATGTTAAAGATTCAAACTAATGGATCATTCATATTTTTTTTCTGATTTCAGATGAAATTGAAAAATTTGAAATTTCATCGAAATCATTTGACTTGATATTGAATAATTTTACCTTGACTGTATATTTTTATTCAAGTTATCATTCGTTGTCATTATTTCAATGATGAACACATCAAATCGACTTGAATTATTATGATGTGAGTAGCGTGTGGAGCTATTCATGCTTGAAATTACGGCGCCACTTAATGACACAAAATCCTCCAATCCATCTCGCAAGAAATAGTAATAAACAAGTCTTTCAAGTGTCCGTCTAATCACCTCAAGAGTGTCCTTGAACTGGATAACTCTTCAATCTCTAAAACATCTTCATGATGCTGAAGCCATCCACAGCTATCCAGAGAGATAAATCAATGGGTAACCACTTGTATTGATTAAGGAGTTATTGCCGATGTCTTCTCTATCTTAGGGATAGTTTTGAAAATTTTCACTAAACATTACTGAAAGGGTAGGAAAAATTTTCCACAGTGATGAAACATCATCATGGAATTATATTAAAACCCTTGACCATCGAGGGAATAATGAGAGAGGCAAATATCAAGGTAAGGCCCTTGATCCCCGAAAAAGATTCATTTGGTTGTTGGAATGATGGAGAAGCAGGCGGGGAGAACGAATAAAAAAGAGAAAAAAAAAAACGTGTACGTAGCCGGGTGGTATGAAGATGGTAAGGAGTAAAATCAATGGAAATGGTGTGACGTAGTGTAGCTGGGTGAGAATGGTCCAATGAGAGGCGGAGTCTCCCCACTGTTTTTTTTTTTAATAAGAAACAGTTGTTACGCCGCCAAGCGTAGCCACTCAGAACCTGGCAGCTGACAAGTTCGTACCGAACTCATTAAAAAAGTCAACTTTCAAAGCCGATTACCAACATACGTCGATATAAATTTCATTGTTTATATTACCTGACGTGAATAAATCGCCTGAACCGGGTCAATAGTAAACTGAATTCCAATCAAGTGCAGAAACGACTGGTGAACAACAATTAAAGTCGTCACAGCAGTGCGTCAGTAAACTGCAAACACGGAGTCACTCGACGAATATATAAGTCCCGGGGAATTTCATTGGGAAAGAGGAAAAATACGGGTGAGAATAAGTAAATATCAACCGACCTGAAAGTTCGAGAATAATACCCGGTAAAGAGAGTGCCAGTACTGTCTGCCGAGATGGCGTTTATGATGCCCGTTGTCAAAAATGAGTGGGATATTTACAAAACCAATCGTAGCAGACGCTCATCCGAGTGTTCTAATCCCCAGGCATGTAGAAGTCGCAAGGTGAGTCCATCAAACCCATCAAACCCATCAAACCCATCACCATCATCCATTCTCCACCTCCAATTTCTCCATTTCAACTTCCAATATCCACAGGCTTCAACCGCAGCCCTCCACTTATCCACCAATTTTATCCTCTTACTTCAATAGATTGCATCAATCCATTAAAATTAGTTATCTTGAGGTAACTACGAACTTGAAGGATATTTTTTTTCATAATGCGTATTGAATACAACAAATTCCGTCACATGATTGTACCCAACGGCGCAGTTCCCTTTATACGAATCTCGTGAATGCCAAATAAGTTGTGCCCCCTTTCAACCAAAATGTCAGTTTTTTGAGTTTCCGAAATAAATTGTTGGTTGGATTGACGCGAAGTAATAAACCGTTTTTGCATTTTATTATGATTTGATATGGTTCCCAGAATGTTATAATTGTGCAATAATTATTCAGCACTTTTGTCAAACTTAAAAAAAATTTAAATTTATAAAACGGTAGGAGAAAGTGAGTCGGGTGTCATGGACTAATGATAAAATACTAAACCGATAATTTTGGGTAAAAGGGGGTCATCCTTGAAATGTTACTCCGTCTTAATTTATTGTTTATGTGGAAATCATCTGCTCATGTTGACATGATATCTTTAATTGTCGAAAGCATAAACATTGAGTGGGTGAGGAAAAAACAATTCCATCCGGCGAGAGATGAGATTTTTTGCATAGAGACTTGAAGTCAGAGAGGAGGAATAATCGAGCCGTGAAAAACACAGAATTATCGGGTGCAAGGCGGAAATATTCTGTACGGCGACAGATTGGCGGTGATGGTCTGGCCGCAACCACTGGGTTTCAGATGTATGACGTAGTGGAACAGCATTACGCAATGTGAGACGTAAATGTCTCGAAATGGCTTCAATAATAATAGATGAATCACCTCGACTTTTGGAGTTTGATAATTGTGTTATGAAATGGTCAAGTGACATAAATCACATTTTCCACTTTGACATTATCAAATACATCCGTAAAAAATTGATAGTTTATATGATATTTTGCCATTTCCCGGGGAATACTCCGTCTCTGCCTTTTCTTTTTTTGTATTCAAGGCATTATTGCCGAAATCCTCTCAGTATTGAATACTAATAAAATTTTAAAACGGTATATTTTGTTATATCTATTTTGTTTTCTATTTTAACTTTCTCAGAAATTTGTAAGAAACTTAGCAAATGAGAATATATCAGCCATAACTCCTTAACAGGTCCGGAAAATTGCAAATGTGTTCTCAAAAGATTCTTCAAAAAGGATTAAAAATTTTAATGATATTTCAACGATAATTATTCTGAAGAAGCACAACTGGTGCTCAATGAGAAAGCGCAAATGACAGACGCGAAATTGAGGATTTTCATCCCCAAGTTGTGAATTAAGGTAGCGCACGCGCATTTTGCATCGAGAGGGTGGCCCTATTGGCCAGTGGAAAATTCAATGAAGTGCTAAATCGATTGTCAACTTTTGTGAAAAATAATTGATAATAAAAAAACATTTGATTGGCAGGTGTCGGAGTGTTCAAAATCAGAGGGGCCCTCATTATCAACATCTCCAGGCTCAGATTTCTTGACATCTCCGGCTCATCGTTCGGTCGCCGTTGGGGCATCATCGAGGCATTTCTCCAGGACCTCGTCACGAGCCTCTCAGAGTTCTCTGCAGAGTCCCAGCAAGAGCACGGGTTCGTCGCCCCCGAAGACCGGCAGCTCAAACTCCCTCAACAAATTCCACAATCGATTGGTCGACAAGCTCAAGAGGTCCCTGAGGAAGGCTGACGACACCTCCGAGGACCAGCGCAATCTTTCGTGAAATAGTCAAGGGGTTTTGGGCCGTCCACCATTATGCGGCTCAAAACCTATTGATATACGACGAACCTCCACACCTGGGGGTTCGATGACCGTGGGAAATTCGTGCGTGATCACGCGATCCTGTCCGGATCCTTCGGTCGCCTGGTAATGGGCAATGCACGTGTAAAACTCACATACAGCTGCTGCCGCTTTGGCTGAGAATTTTTAAAGGATTAAGTGTCCAGACTGAGAATTTTTCACAGTCCTGCCAACGCCCAACTTTGGCAATTGTCAACTGGAGGTGGCAGTTGCCGAGGAGCATGTTGAAGAGTATTTTTCATGTCTGAATTTTTGCTAACGCGGAGGGCTCTATTTACACGCATATTTAATTCACTGGTGAAGCGATCCAGTCAGATACTTGACAACTTCACTATTGAATTCAATTGCCAGCCTATTTCAATTGGAATCTGTCGTACAGTATTTATGAAATTTTTACTGAATTTTCCAGATTTTCGCCTTGAATTCAAATAAATTCACACAGGTGAGAGTTGAGCTGTAATTTCAAAGGAATTTTTCATTTCAACATTGGAAATTGATGTGAATTGCGGAATTTCCATCGTTCGTCCACTGGGAAATAAGAAAAATATTATCCTTGAATTTTCAGATAAATTTTTTACTAGTGAATTATTAAATTCATTATTGCCGATATATTCTCTTTTTTCAAGTTTTTTAAAAAATTTCCAGAACGTTAGAAAAAATATGAAAAATGGGAAAATATCGGCAATCATTTCTTTAATGAAATTCGTGAGGATTTTTCGGGAAATTGAGCAATTATTTGTAAACGGTGTAGGTGGATATTGGCGGAGTAGTGTCAGTCGTGATTACTCTGTCTACCTGTCGACAATCATCGAAGATGATTGGCCACTGAACAAAAGGATAAACATGTCCTAGTCTCGACTACCATAACGAAGAAAATCAAATGCTTTACTAAATTAATATCGATATCTTTTCTATTCCATTACGAGAGAATATATCGAGCTGTTGTCAAAATTACGAGTGGAAGGATCGAATTCCATGAGTGGAGTCACTGGATTTATATTTTATGAGAGGAAATTTATGGGGAGATAGTGTGGCTGGCGCCTAAAATGAGACTAAATCATTCGCATATGAATAGCTTTATCGTTGAGAATTTGAGAAATTTATTTATGTTCGTTAGATTTTGTAGATTACGTTCGTAAAGTGAGAGAAGTGAGGGGAATGGAGAAGCATGTGACGTATTATCCACGGTGACATTATTAACTCAATCCATGTCACGAGTTACTACGAGTTACGAAATTTCAGTTGACAGTGTGACCCACACTACAAGTGGCGAAGCCACGTAAGTCGATTTTTTTTTCTCTCTCATTTTTCTTACACACTGATTGATGTAAAAAATATTTATTCTACAAGGAAATATCAAAAGGGATGAATGAATAATTTAAAAGCATTTTGCATTCCACTTATCTCACTTTACCACTTTGCTTCTACATTTTATTGACTAACGATACTGAAAAATTATCATTACGAAAGGATAATTTCTGAGGAGATAGGGAAATAGGGAGCTGATATTGTAAAATACTGTATATGTCATTTTGCATGGACACATCTAGGTTTACGATTGATTGATGGATTCTGCCATAATTCAGGTGTTTTCCGCCATTGGAAATGGATTTTTCATCGATGATCGTGTGAAGTGATATCAAATATAAAAATGTCACTCTCGAGGGGCTACTCATTTCGTAATTCTGTCACAACATTACTCGAAAATTATTTATTAAATATTTAATCATTGAAGTTTTTCTTTTTATTTCGAATTATTGTTCAGATGAAATTCAACAATTTCACCATGTGCTAGTGAATAGCCCCTCATTACCCATTTCTGTGTATACCGAATAAAATAATCTTGGCGAGTTAACAATAATTCAGCGGGTCCATTGTATCCTAGTCATTTTTTATCGTTAATGATGTTAATATCATTGCAATTGGATGTGAATATTTGAAAAATTATTTTTCACACAGATACGAAGTAAACATGAGGTATTTCTTCTTAAGTTGAAGCTAGAGCGCGAAAAATGTGATTTTATGGTAGTCGTTGTAATCAACAGGTGAAAAATTCAACAAATAGCTCAGTCATTGCACACTGTCCTTATAATTTTCGATTATCCAATTTTTCCTGTCTACTTTTTATTTCATGGCTTTTCCTGTTTGAATATTGTCGTAACGGTGGTTCATCACAATGTACTTTCCTAAATTTCCACGCTCCATTCGCTGATTTTTTTTTTTTTTTATGAAGAAGAGAACCGCGGGACAATATCACTTCATAATATGGTTCATTACGGAATCATTGTCGATATCCTCTAATTTTTCATAAATTTCTCAAAAGCAGTCGATGGTATTGATGCGAAAAAACATACCGTTATTATGGTTTATTATTGTTCATTGTTTCCACAAAAATTTTTCCACACTCCACAAAATTTTACAAAGAATTTTGAAAAATATTAGGGGTACGACTAGGAAAATTTGTGTCATTTAATAATGATAAGACTTGAGAATGGTTTATTTTTCCACGTCAATCTCATCCAGGGTTTTCCGGTAATCAACAAAAAACAAAAATTATAACACTGAAGATTAAAAATATCCAGCCCCCATTGTACCCACCGTCTCTGCTGTATTTGCTTATTTGAGGTTTTGTTTTCGATTACTGATAGAGTAAGAAAATGGTACCGTATGTAACTCTGTGATAAAGTTGTAAGTTATAAGATAAACCCATGCGACGAAAATATATCTGGAAACGAGATTTGGAAACTTGTTGATTAAAAATATGAGAGTGAAAAATCTTTTGCGACCTATGGGTGCTTGGAAATCCATTACATTATTATGAAAATTGATTCGGTCTTCTCAATGATGCTGCAATACAAATATTCTATTCCAGTGACGTAATCACGACTTCACTCTCATAATTCTCAGTGTAATAACTAACGGTGTGTGAATATTTGAAATGAAGACCAATTAGCGGCCAATTGGATTGGAATTATTCGATTTAATCACTATTCCCACACCTTCAGTATAACAAACGTGCAAATATACATTACATGGATGTCGATATAAAAAAAAAATGCGCCTAAATAGTGCACTGGGAAATATAGTGATTTATGAGCTGTGGAGAATGTAGACGAACGTGTGAGAGAAATGGAATGAATTATTTGTGAAGTCGCCTCTTTATTTTCGGTAATCGCTGCTTCATGGGAGACTGCATTGATAACGACGATTTACGAATGAATCTCTTATTGGACTTATTGTATGGTGCTACAAAGAAGTGATTTATTAAAAAATAATGACAGATTGGTGTGATTTTTATTTGACACAGTAAAATGTCCTCATTTCCCGATAATTGCCATTTTTCACTGATTCAGAAAATTGCAATTACCTCGTTTCCCATACGTTTTAGCGTGAAAATATTTTCAAAAAAAATTGACAAAAAAATTGCAGTGAATACCTCCTCGATTTTCATGCTCTCTTGATACAGGAGATTTTGTACAGGCGCTGGCAATCTCTCCCCCCTGCCCCTTATAATCTCTGGTGTGATGACATTTTTCAGAAAAAAAACTGAAGAACACTCACTAAAAGTCCTTTATTACCACCTGAAGATTTTTTAAAATTAACACTCAAAGTGTTACTCAAGCAAATTATTCGACAATTGCAGTTTAGTATGGAGAAAAATATTGAACGTACATTGGAACAGGCGTAAGTATAACTTTTTGAGGTTAACTGGTGATAATTGTTGAGATTATCTGACACATGATAATGAATAACAAAACTGGAAAAATAATTTCGTCGACAGGAAGAATGTGTTTGGGGTCACTGGTTGTATTCTAGCTGACAAGGCAGGTCTTTGCCTCGGAAGTGAGTATTAATAGAAATTTATTAATCATCGATTCACACAATGTATCAAAAATTCAATATTCAATATTCAAATTCAATAACTTTTTCTGGTTGAAGCGGTGACATATTCAAGGCCATTACAATAAAGTAGACATTCCAGGTTAATCTAATCGAATTAATTCATTCAATTTTTTAGCTACTGGAAATGTTTCAACTGATAGCGCTGGATTGATAGCAGCAATCGCTAGTCAAGCTGCTAAATTAGAACCTGGACTAGATGCTCCAATCGTTTGCTTGCAGAATGACTCAAGGTATTATTGCCAATATTTTCTCGACCACTATGTGTAAACCCAAAAGTCTCATTTCTCTTGTAACTATAATTATAATTGATGTGATCTTTATAGACAATGTCTGATTCAACGCCAAGGTCCAGTAGTTGGTGCCATATTCAAGGACACGTCTCAATGAAAATCGGTGTATCTTCTCGAATTATCCAATTTCACTATGGATTTTTGATCCATAGAAAGAACAAACGAATTGTCTTTTTTTTTTAATTCGATATGAGAAATAAAATTGCACCTATGATGATTCGAGTCGAAGTGAGAAACGTGAGGTCGATATCTTTTGAAAAAAGTTCTATATTTGTATATATATATATGTTAAATAACAAATGTATGAGTACCAAGTACCATTGGCTAATTCTTTTTTGGGTGATTGAGTCTATGGATACAATAAAAAATTTGTTTTATTTTGGATTAAAATCAGCTGTCACTTGAATCGAGTGATAAAACCATGATTAGCAATAAATTTCTCTTTATTTTTTAAAGTACAAGAAAAGAAAAAGTAAATGCATATTAAAAGTAATTATCGGAATAGAAAATGCTCAGACAAAGACTTCTTTCAACGGATAATCTAATTTTCCAAAGAAAGTCTAACATTTCCCCTAAAACTACTTGCTAACAAAAAATGATTTTTCGTGGTCCATACCTTTACTGAATGATTTTTTTTTTCTCCATTCAAGAGCACGAAATACAAAAAAAAAAACTCAAAAACCAACATGACAGAAATATTAATGATTGATAGAGATCGTTATGATAGATGAAACCATTCGATCCTCTTTTTACACAGTAAAAAAATACTTTGTTTATTTAACTTGATGGAGTACGAGTGAAGTGATAAGCTCCCTTTATCTGCCCCATTAGTTGAGCGTTGTATTCTTCATAATCAACCGGAGCCACAGATAAGACGAGGTTCTTCAGCTTCAAATCATCCTGAAAATCATATTAACATCACTTATAATTTATTTTCCGAGGGGAGTGAAAATATCGAATATCAAATATAAAATTTTTTAAAACCTTACAATCTTAATATTAATGGAGGGAATAAGTGAAATTTTCGTACCATATAGTTCTCCATCTTCATCTTTATCTTGAAGCAGAAACTTTGGAATATGATGGAATTACATTTCGCTACATAAGCATCGTAATTCTGCTCCTGCAGCTCTCCGAGCTCCTGAGAAGTTGTGCCAAAAATTTTCTCAGCTTCATTATTGAATATTGTAACCCAGATGTTGCTTGAAGAATCAGAGATGTTCATCTACAGTAAAAAAAAAAAAACCATACCAGACACTTTGAAAGAGTAAATCACTGATTAATCAATCGATGGAGTTTTTGTTAACAGTGAGCACGAGTGACTGCGAAAAAAATTGTCCAGACCTGGAGTACAAAATAAAATTGGTAGGTTGAATTATTTAAGATTATAACCTATTTGTATGGATTGTAATGATTTTTTCGAAAGGATAGAGTATTATAGTATAGTAACAACATATACGAATAAATAAATAGAATTCAGTATTTCTTCCTTGAATTAAACTGTTACCTGTGCTATGAAGCGATATTTGAAATTTGGAAAATCTCTGTCACATTTCTCACATCTGAAGCATCCGTCAGAATCAATGACCTGAAGCCAAAATAACAGAGAATTATGAGAATTTGGACAATACAAATATGATTTTAATTTGTATTGCTCATAAAAAAACAAAGGGCGGATTAAACAATCGTGATTTTCTTATTTACTTTACAACCGGCGAAAATTAATCTCATTTTAGGGACGTTTTGTTACCTTTTTGTTGCATGAGTCTGTCGGACAAGCTTTGTAAATAGCGTTTTCTGAACGAACGAAGGAAACTGCTGCTTTGCAGATATAAATCACGTCACCAGAAGTATCGAGTGTTTTGCTTTTGGCCAGGGCAGCTTTGATCTTCAGCCAAGTTCCAGCCATACCACTAGGTCCATCCTTTGAGATAAGTTTTGCCTCCTCGCCATTACCACCAGCAGCCCACCACCCACGAAGACTAAACATTTGAAAGTTTCCAAATAAAAAGTCTACGCGAACAGTTTTTATAAAATTTTCCTTTGTGAAGAATTTGGTAAATATCGGCAATTTCATTATTCCCGAAATAAAAAAAAAACCACTACCAATATTATTTTCTAAAATCACTGGTTATTGTGATAATTAGATAGAATGGGGAGTTTCCAATTGAATGATACCTGTGGGCTTCGATAATATCGGGATCGATCTGAATGAGACTTGCTGGAATAGTCCCTAAGTTTTTTCCACCATTAAACTCGTCAACCCTGGCACCTTTGATCGCAACTACTGGATGTTCCAGTCCATCGAATTTAGAAACATGAGAACCCCAAACAGTAAAGGTGACCTGGTAGAGAATAAAATAATGTTTTATTCAAATTTCACTCTCCCAATGAAAATTCTGAATTGAAAGACATAGAAATTACCATAGTATTGCTTTGGTCAATAAGGCGAATATCCCTTTTGCGTAATTCCTTCCCAGTGGTGCGAGCGACCAAGTTTTGGGGTTCATTGATCTGTTTAGCGACTCCAACAATATCTGCAAACAAATGGCAATTCATTGTAATCATACATTTTAATGTCAATTGGCAAACAATGTTGGGGTTAGTATCACTCAACAAATCAAGATCAATTTTTATCATCATTTTTTTTTTTTTGAGCAGAGCTTACCGATGATGGCACCTTTCGGACAATGCTCTATGGAACTGATGGGTTCAAAATTGAAATGGATCGCTGGAATGTCATCTGCACCGTCGTCACAGAGGATGATTTCAGTGTCGTTATTCATGCTCATTTCGTACTCGTTCTTGAGATGGTTGAAAGCTTTATTAGCGGGTTTCAGCGAACATCGAGATATGTAATAAACTTTTCCAATCTGAAAATTGAATAAGTATGAAAGGTTTTAATAAATCTAATTTTCGGTCATTTAGGATGCAACCGGTTTCCAGTTGCCTTTTAAGGTAATATTAAGGGTGAAACAATAAATATTTACTTCAATCATATCAAAGTACTTGTCGACAGCCTCTCTGAAACCTGTGCATCTGATCTCTCCACTCTCATCACCGAGATCTATACTGAAGAGTTTTCCTTCTCCGCGAGCATTGCTCCAAGTCCTGACATCGGATTTGTTGTTGACTCTCGCCTTTATGACCCATCTGTAACGAAATATTAAAAATTTCGAACGAAATTTCCCGATTATTTACAAACCTGATCATAGGAAATTTCCTATGATTTCCTATGTGACTGAAAATTCATTGAAATAGAGAAATTGAAAGCAATCGGCCAATTCATTAGCACCGATAACGATAATTATTGAATGAAAAAACGATTATCAACTCGTTCGATAACCCGTTCATGATGAATACAATTGAAAAATACCTGTTTTGATACGGACTCAATACCGCTATTGGTGTGGTTGAAATATGAGATCCAGCATTTATTGTGTCGTTCAAACGTTTCTTCTCTGGCGCTTTAGAGAGAAAAAGAAAGGAAAATTTTTTTCAATGGAATATTTTTCAAGATATGAGGAGAAAAAAGATCATTTACGGGCAGATGAAGCTGGTGCTGGTCTTTTCACTGCAGCATTGGTACTAGTAGACGCTGCCTGCTCAGTCCCCCCATCATCAGATGTAAGATGTTTTTCTACAGGAACTGGAGTCCCAATCTTTCCACCAATATCACTTCCAGCTGCTTTCTGGGTGACTTCAAGAAGTATCATAACTCGTCTAGATAAATTATAAAAAATGAATTTGTACATTTGTACGAGTGTAAAACATTTCATCTTGATATTTAATCACTAAAAAGCCCAAATGCTATTTATTTCGTACTGTAAATTACAGCAAAAATTTCGTTATTTCCTGTGGATGTATCGATTCCAAACAATAAACATCTCGAGACGATTCCCTCTAAAAAGATAGAAATCTCGAGGTAATTCTACTGTTAATTTCGTACCAAAATTGAAAAACCGATGCAGACAGTGTAAACAAATTACGGAGATGTACACAGATTAAGTAATAACAAGAACAATAAAGCAGTAATCACCTCGGCTTTCCGCCATTGTTGGCCTGGCTGAGAACATAGCGTACAATTTCAATAATTGAATATTCAGCAAGAATTCCTTCATCAACGATATGATTAAGTTGAGTTGCCAACATGGTGAATGGACTGATGTACATGCCATCGGAGATCAGCAGTCGATATCGATCGCCATTTCCTAGTTTCTTGATGCCCTATAAATACATAGCAAGAAGAATTTGACCTTCAATGTCCCTCGGACGACAATGAACATTGAACATATTTAATTCTCACCAGGACTTGGCAAATTGGCTTTTCGACATCATTCCCCTTGTAGATTTCCTAGAATCAGAAGGATTCAGAGTGTAGAGCATAGTTTCAAAAATTTTGAGGTTCGACGCGTCGTGAAACCGCCGGATGATTTTCTTACCAGTAAAGCACCCTTCGTTAGACTTGGAAACGTCATTTTAAGTGTTTCTCTCTTTAATCAATGCAGGTGAGATGAGCTTTGGGTTAACAAGATGATCGTACGTTTGTACGGGCTATCTTTGATTTGACTTTTCAATTTAATTACGCAGGAATTGCAGATACGTGTGATCCTGTTTCACTTGTTTTGTCGAGAGCCGACTACGCTTTCCCGCCCAGATTTCAGGGAATGTTTGTTGAAAATAGAATGTATGTCGCTAGTTGCGAATGCAACATTTTCCCGCACATATCCCATGAATTTTGAAAGCACATCAAGAGCAGAGAGGATAAACTAAAGTAGAGGCTCAGTCCTGGGGGTTTGAGTGATCCCAGCGGCATCGTAGTACTGCACCCCAAGAGAAGGAGGGTGTCACACGCAATGCTGGGGTGTTTTTTTTTTTTAACCAAGTTTTTATTGCAATGCTGGGGTGTCCATCGAGTCGACGGGGTGAATTTTATTGTCTGCGGTATAAATGCTCTTTGTTTTTTAATTGTTTAACTGAAATTTAGCCGACTAGAACGAGCGGAAGGGGGAAACCACATCTTGTGAAATTTCAATGGAAAAAAATATTCAATGTATTGAAGATATACCACTAATGAAATAATATTTTTATAATATAGCGCGTTGTCTAGTTGGCAACGCGTTTGACTGGCACGCGGACCGCTTGGGTTCGATACCCAGCATCATTAATTTTTTTTTTTTAAATAATTCTAATTCTTATTTTTTGTTGATGGCTAATTAATGGAAATATCGTTTAAAAACAGAATTTTTCAAAATCGAGAAGAAATCCAGTGAAATTGACAAATTTGAAAGTTTTTAACAAGATACTTTTTCAAAATATATACGCCTATTGAAATTTTATTCTTAGAATGAGTGCATTGCTAAGTGGTAACGTGCTTGCCTACCACGCCGACGGCCCGGGTTCGATCCCGCCGTCATTCATTTTTTTTTTTAATAATTCCAACTTTTTCTTTAGGTAGGTATGCACTGCAATTGAAAAATTCGAAATTTTTGAAAAAGTATCAGGGTAACATGACAATCGAGGAGCTATTCACTGAAATTTTCACTGAAGGTGAAAAATTCGAAATTTTTGAAAAAGTATCAGGAGAACATGACAATCGAGG